TCATTAACAAATGTATACATCCGCGATTTTGCTCCGCGAGATCGAAAAAGGGGGTATTACTACCGTGTGTTACTTTATGCAATCTTGATAAAACTAATCTGCTCCCTTCTTCTCACTTTCTGTAGCTCGCAATCTCGCGTCGCAATAAAAATAATCGTCGGATGTCGTGCAAGGCACGAACCGACCATCCCACGAATATTTTTCATCGAACAAATTTTTCACAAAATCGCAAAAAATATACGCAGAAACAAAACGCATGACGTAAAAAAAATATTATAAAATTTGAAACGCGATAAAACATCACATTACTTCCACGATATCATACTATTCCCCAATAAAAATGAAAAGCGTAGATAGAATAAAAGAAGAACGTATTTTTCATTTTGATTATGTGGTAACAGTTTCCATGCGCTTGAGCACTAAAAATATCGAATATTTCATGTCCGAGTTACATGCTAAACTGATCTTTTGTTTATTAGTACTTAATTAAGTACACAGTCTTGGTGCGAACGCGTGCACACTGCAGTCTATGGCACTAAGTATTCACGTTATTTTCTGCAATTTTTAATTTTACTCTCATATCAACACGAAATTTATCTTTATATGCAACTCGCACAACAAGTTTTCTGTTTCATTTCATCATTATTCGAAGATCCTACACGCGTAATAAAATGATCCGTCACGAATCAATCATTTAAGTGCGGTACTTAAAAAGAAACAATAAAAATAGTTTTTCCGAAATGTCGATCATAAATCATAAAAATTCTTGATTTATATGACAATGTAAAATTATCAGCTTAGTTTATAAAACGTATAGTAATCGACTTATAAATTTAATAGTCAATATTATTTAATTTTATCAAATATAAAAGTTTCCGCGCAAAAATAATCGATTGTTGTAAAATCACTTCCATATTTTGTCGTGATCTGAAAACAGAAAAAAATGCTTCAATGTGTTCTCCTCTCATGTAATTCTTGTTTTCGTATTTTTTTCTTCATTTTCCTTATATCGTTTTCATTCTTGTCTCATTTTTTTTAAACAATGCCTAATGAAAGCCAAGAGGCTCATAATCCTCTCGGCCCTAGGCTCGGCACTCGTAACTAGGGTTCCAATCGACCGGTGCCGAAGCCCATTTGCCCATTTTCCGTACACCCTTGCATTTACTTGCAATAGTGATCTTAATGAGAAGATCACTATCGCGTTTAGACTTGAAAATCATCCCTTCAATTCTGGTGCCCCGCATACGGTTTCCATTTTTACGTACCTGTCGTGTAGAATTAAAAATGTAATCTTGGATTTATTTCCAAGTAAAACTTCAAGACGTTTATTCATACATATGTTCTCACAACATATGTGCGAACGTATGTGGTTCCGTGTACGTTTTGCTATAACGATGTACACGAGTACACGCGATGTCTTCATTCGGCGAAAATAACACATCGTGCATGCGTGCACGCGTATAGATATGTATATATATGTGTGTGTATACGTTGCACCCGGTTCTGCCTCCGACAGACGCATAACGGGTCAATCATATACACATTTCCATTTATATACGTATACTGATAAACATCAATATTGATAACGCTGTTTATAGCGAACATCAATATTAAAAAAAGAAATTTTCCTTGTGATATTCTTTGACAGTGGGGCACCAGCAGAAGGACTCAATCCTCCCTTTATGGAGGGTTCAAAATATTATTTAGCTTTCTTGCATTTCATATATATGTATATATATAATGTACCTCACACAACTCCCTAGTTACGAGTACCGAGACCTAGTGATAACCGATTAACTTGATTACGCACGATCTCAATTGCTTCTTTGTTCTCGGATTCGTCACATTTCTCGATTTCACATTATGCATATAACTTCTCTTATATTACTTTCGCTCAACTCGATCCCGATCGCACACCTGCGGCGCAAGTTCACTTAAGAAATTTTCACTTAAGCAATTCGTCTACAACATCAATTGTGCTCGACGAACTCCTCACAGTCTCATTATCTTAAACTCACATTATGTTGTCAATTCTCGGTAACCTCAAATTAAAAATTCGCAATAAATTAACCGTTATACTCTATACGTTTTCGTTAAACACAACCCACACACGCTATAACTCGCTGCCTTGCGTTCTCATTCGCTCTCCGTCTTACACACGATCCCTAAGTTATTCCGATCGTTCAGTTTAAAAATAGACATAAAATTCATCTTATTCTTTCTGTGACGCATTCTATGAGGCTTAATCCTATTACGTATATCCAAATCACGATTAATACCAACGAATCTAATCGATATCGGTTTTCCGAGCTAACTCGTCCTCGTTACTATTGATTTCGATCGAGGAAGATGGACGCCGCGACGCAACGAAGAAAGATACGCGCGTATACGCCCACGAGAGGCTACCTAAAGAAAGTAGACGCCGCGTAGACGATATAATGTCTGTCGTAAACACGCCTACCGCGTGCGATAGTATCGATCATCATCCAACGCGCGCTGCATCGAGGCTGTTAGCTACTGAGGCGCGTGTGCTCTCGTCCCTACGTAGCGTCCCGCATATAAATCGCGGTCAGTAACGGTGTTAACATAAAAAAAGAAAAAAAAGTTAGAAAATAAGAAAGAAGAAAAAGCGGAACACCGACATACGAATTATCCGTGCCTTGTTCGCCCTTCCTATAACTACGATTCAGTTATAATCGACTGTCTCTTTTCTCCGTTACATCTGATACGGTTTCATTGACACGTGACGTCAAAGTAATACTCGCATATATTGTTCTTGCCACCTCTCTCTCTCTCTCTCTCTCTCTCTCTCTCTCTCTCCCCCCCCCCCCCCCCCCCTCTCTTGTGCTCGATTGCCTTATTCAAACTGAAAACGCTTACGAACCAGTGAAACCGCTCTACCTCGATTTTCTCGCGCCTCTCTAGCCACCCTATCTCTAGCTACTCAGCGACCTACTTCGTTGACGACGTTTCTCGCACGAGACCGCGAACGCGCCCTCCTCCTCTTCCTCCTCCAATGCTTGCTCTTTTATACAAATATCTCGCATGTCTGTCCCGTCCATCGTGCCATGTCGCGAGAGACCTTCAAGGAGAGACAGGAGAGAAGGCTATGAGAGAATGAGAGAAAAAGAGAAGCGCGCGAGATGAAACGAACGTTTCGCTCTCGAAGAAGTTTACGCGCGCGAACCACATATTTCGTTATTTCTGATAACTACTGATTAGCAGATAAATAGAACAGACCATGTCCCGGCCACACGAAGAGCAAAACACAGAATTGGTTGCATAAGGCTGCGAACCAGCCGCAAGCTCATTCGGCGCTCTCGCACCGATAATAGCCCATTACGACTAGTTTCCTAGAGGTTTCGAGCGAGAATATTTCTGAATATGTTTTGAAAGCGAAGTGAGAACCGATGTCAACGGACGACCGCTGCCCTCCTTGGGGCACGAAACAAATTTAGAAACATTCTTCAACCACGCTACGAAACGAAACCTTATGTAATCGAATTCGCGTCGAATCTATGGAACGGTTGTACAAAAATCTAAAATAAATTAATCAAGAGTATTCTTAATCGTCACAAGAAGTACATGAGAATGTTGGAAAAAAAACAGAGTGTACCTAACGGATCGAAAAAGACAATGGATCTCTAACACCCGAATTTATTAAAATCAAAATCCTCTATCCAATTTCCTCCCTCCTTTCTTTCCAATTTTAGGCGTAATATTGACAAATCTTATCAAGGAATCTTAATAATACAAGTAATATTTTATAAGACTAAAGATAAAAAATACGACAAATAAATAAATTCTATAGTTTCGAGCGATTAATGTATAAACAACAAAATAATAAAAAGAAGACAGCATTAACGAACTCAAAACAAGCCGAATACCATATAAAAACTCATTCTCTGTTCGCGGAGCAATCCGAAACACTTATGGAAATGAAATATACTAAAAGATTTCCAACAAGTAGCGCCGATCCAACAATACAAGATCCTTTCTAGCTCGCATAGGGCCTGCGAATTAGCATATCCTACTTCACAACGCTCTCTTCCTTCTGGAAAGGTCGAGGACGTTAATAGAACTCTAGAAGCTGCTACCCACGCATTTTAACATCGATCAGGTGCTAGGTACCGTCTTCCTATAGAGTATACAGACCCGTTTACCCTGGCATAGACTCGTGTATTTCGACTCCCACGCGTGTATGATCTAGCCGCGAAGGCAAATCGGAGAATGTCTCCGACCTAGCTTACTGTTAGTTGCGATTCAACTCATCACGATATACTGGTCACTTTTGATTTTATCAGAGAGAGATCAATCATTCCTTAAAGGACGGACGGAATCGATCGCGAGCACGACCGATCCTGAAGAACCGGTGCTATTCTTACGTATAATCATCCTAGTCACATCTATCCGATCGAACGTTCGACGCTAGATGAACCAGATGAAGAAGACAAAGTAGCGAAACACGATGGCAAAAAGAAGAGATAGAATTATGGAGAAGAATAATGTCGCGGAAGGAATAAGAGAGAAGTAGAAGAAGAAGAAGGAGAAGAAGAGATCTCGCGAAATCGGCACGAAAGTCGCGTCGTCTATTACGAGCACGGATAAACGGCCGAGCTAATGCTGTGGTAGGCGGCGAGGGCGGCGTGCGCGTGCGCTGGGGGCGCGGATGCGGCTGCGTGCGGCGAGGTGGCCATCGCGGCTGCCATCATCATCTGTTGGTGCGAACGCTTTAGGGAGTTGGGAGTTGTGGCGGCGCTACTTGGGGTAATAGCAGTAGTAGTGGTGGTGTTCGACTGCGGCGTAGGGTGGTGGTTTTGGCTTTGGTTTTGGTTGCTCAGTTGCAAGGGGGTGGTAGTGGCGGTACTGCCGATTCCGGCGTGATTACTATTATTATTGTTATTATTCTGGTGATGGTGATGGTGGTGATGGTGATGGTGATGGTGGGGGGTGAGCGCGTCGTGCGGATAATAAGTCGTTGACGATGGTGAGGTACTCACGACGTCCGGCGTGCTGGCCCCGTCCGTGTGGCTGGTGCTGTCAGCGGTGCTTCTGGGTCCGCTGCCGTCCAGACCGTTACCCAGCTCGGGTGGCTTCGAGCTCTCTCGGTCGTCGATCACGAGGTCGATCGGCATCTTGCCCTTCAGGCAGCTGATGTACCGGTGGCAGAAGTTGTCGCACAGCTCGTGCACCTGGAATGTGAAAAAAAAGAAAGAACATTCGTTAGTCATGAAGAAGACTCAAGAACCAATTAGATCGATTCTCCATTGGCGAACCAAGATACCGTTTTCCAAAAGAGACTTTCCAACAGGACGCGGCTGATTAACCGCACCGCCGGAAATGATTAATAGATAGGTTCCATCGAATGGATCCAACCGATGCAGAGTCTTACTGTGGTGTGAGACGCAAGGAGAGAGAGAGAGAGAGAGAGAGAGAGGAAAAGAAATAAAAAGTAAAAGAGAGACGCGGCGCGGCGTATCGATACACGAAGATGGAGGAGAAGGATTGTGCGCGCATCTCGAGGCCGTGGAAGAGGCCTCTGATAGCTGAAGAGAAACCGATGCAACGAATGTATAGAAGGAGCGCAAGAAAAAGAGAGACAGAGAGGAGATCTGACCGGTGTCCAGTCGACCAGAATGTTATGTATGCAAATGAAGCCTGACAGGCCTATAGGATAGCCGATCCTCCTCCGTTCCCCTTTTGACTCATTCTCCAACCCTCACCCTCCCTCCTCTCGTCCCTCACTCTATCCTCTTGCCTGATTTGCCTCCTTGATTTCGTTTAGAATAAACGTATTATATAAGCAAAAGCAAATAAAATTCGTTATCTTGTTATATGTAAATCGTCGGCGAGTAGAGATATTACGAAGCTGCGGCTCTCTCGCAAACGTACACCCTCTCTTCCATCGTTTTTCGTTCCCGGAGCTACCTTGCACGCATTACCTTGCCCACCTCTATTGGCCTAGAGCTCACTTATAATACTCTTATTAAGCATTTATATATAATAGAGAAGACGGCCATCTTTGCCGTAGGCGGCACCGTCCAATGGTAGCGTGCATCAAGAACGTAGGACAATGCACATGTTTATCATCCGTTAAGCGCATGCGAAAAGACTCGCAATTGGGTTTTCCCCTGCTGACCAACCAAGAAACTAAATGACGAGAAATTTGTTCGTTCTCGATCACTCGAAGAAAGGTAAACGTACATCGTCTATTCAGAGATAGACGCAGATATACAGAAACTTACTTGGTGCTTGTGATAATCGATATTGCAAAGAAACCACCAGTCTAATCAAACATTTTGCATATCGGATAAGATTGCGAAATTATCAAATCGTTTTCGTTTAGCTTGCAAAAGGTAACTCAATAACGATATTATTAGGAGCGATCAATAAGATCGTTATGTGCATTATGCGAAGTCACTACAAAACGACGATGTATTTCGCATCGATCGGCGAACATTCGTCATGCTCGTTTACCTGTCTTCAAAACTAAGAGGTCTCTCATCCAGACCGATAATGCGACAACCTTCGGTCCATTGACTGCGCTTCTTCCATTGCGGCACCAACTTTTTTCCTGTGCTATTTGCCTCGACGTATCACCGCGACGCAGTAACACAATGCCTTCCTCGGGATGACTAAACTCTCTCTTTAATACAGGAATCTAAGGGCGGGTAGAAAGAGACGAAGGACTTCGAAGGACAGCGACTATAATGCTGAACTGGTTAGAATTTGATCCACTGGGAGTCGAGTCGAACCGAGCGACAATGCTCAGTGAAAAAAAAATTAAAAAAAAGCTTGCGTTCCCTTTTTTTTACTGCCTAACGCATCGAATCAATCCTTTGCGCTTTGATTTCAACATTCTTTTAGAATTTTAGAAATGCATTTCAATTTTGTCACAATTTGCGTAAATGATTAACTTGAGAAAATAAAGAATAATAATTTGTAAGAAAGATGAAATAAAATCAAAATATTTGTGAAAAGATATTAATTTATCAGATTAATTCTAATAAGTAAAATTGGTATTAATTACATCTCGAAAGAGGAATACCCTGGATATGATAGGAGCTTAATAACTGGTGGAAATTTCAACTATGACATAAAACGCGATACGATCGCCTTGAAACACGCGAATTTTTGCAATCTATCCTACCATTGAATCGCGTCATCCTATATACCGTGGACGATGATCTCAGAGGGAACTGTTACAGGATATAGGGAGGTCGTCCCCGGCGATATGACGAGACGCTCGATCGCTTGCATCTCCCTTTTCTGAGATCGCTTTTGGCGGTCATCGAAATAGCAAAAGGACAACGTAGTTAGATCCAATCTTTTTGGAGAGAGAATGTTGTCCGAGAATATCTCGTGTGGTGCGCGATACGACAAAGTGGCCCGTTATCTGGCGAACGAAGGCGATCGAAACAAATTTCGGGCTGCGAACCCGCCCTACGTCCGTAATTGGACGCCATACAAAAATAGTCCTCGGGATCTGAATATGCTACTTAAAGTTTTAGCACAAGTTAAATTACGATTCAATTTCGAATCGAGGGTTAGTATCGATCGAATTAAACTTTTAGTAAGGACGCTGCGATTAAAGATTTAAACAGCTGCGATAATACTATTTCCATCGATGTTCTCGAGCAAAAACGGAAACGATAACCACTCGAAATCGATGAGCGATTTCATCTTCCGGTTGCTTCTTGAGTTATTAATCGCGTGAATAAAACAGTCATCGTCATCGCGTCTACGCGATTACTTGGAAAGAGTTAAATAAGTAATAGAATCTTATTAAAAATGTGTTAAATAAAAGAACAAAATAGTGAGATGTAAAAATATCACAAAAGATTTAATTCGAAAATGATTAATTCAAAATTATTTTCGTTTCATAGAGCTAATAATTTCATAGCAATGATGGCTTTTGCAAAGACATCTCTTTAATCGAATTGCTTTATTGAATATTAGTCGATTGCTTTCGACAATATTTTCTCATGGCAAGCGCGCACGAGATTTTGAATCAAAATCCAGATCTCCATCAAAATTACTACAAGAATTCTAATTTTGGTTTTTTATTCAAATTTTAATAATATAAAGAATGTAGCGATAGTTATATACACATATAACTAATATATGTAATTACTTTAAAATAATAAACTATGTATATGCACACATACAGAAGTACGCGCGTAGAAATAAAAAATTTATTATCTATTACATCGCGTTATTCCATGTGTCTATACATCGTTTCAAAGATGAAGAGAGACTAATTATTCCGAAACCAGTTTTCCATTGAAAGAGACCATTTAAACGATTCTCCCTTTTTCTCAGTCATCCTGTTGTCATGGAAGGAAAGAGAGTACTTGGCGCGCTGTGACATTATATGAACTCGAAGACCTCGGTATCGTCTTTCATTCGGCCTCGAAATTGCTCGAAAATTTACGTAAACGAAGGAAAGAACGGGTAAACGTCTCCCTATCTTACATCCGCCTCTTCCTTCCTACCTTGCCTCTTCACGGACTCTCAGAAAGGCAAACGCCGAAGAATGGAACGGATCCAAGGTACATACGAGCGAGAGAGTAGAAAAGAAGGAACACGGGGAACCCCATTTACGGCACAATGGGCTCCTTTGAAGCCGAAGGTAATGAAGGTTTCGGGGTGTCTGTCTCGGTCTCCCTCTCTCGTGGCCTGATTCGCAACCTGACCACCCTTACGGCACGCACAGGATATCTATATACCGGGTGTGCATGTCGAACGATCGGGGTCATCGCTTCCTTTCCTTTCCACTGCGGTATCGATGACGATGAGAAACTCAAACCTTTTTCCAACTCTATCAGATAATCCACGTATCCCTTCTAATAAAAATCTCAGCGAATTCTACATATAAACTTGTGACGTGTATGTTATCTTTTGAATAAATTTATAAGAAATGTCTACATATAAAAATCTCGTTATGAGGCAGTTAAGATTTAATTTTCATAGCGTCTCGGTCAAGATTCCGTGGTAAGAAATATCTAAAAGTTCCTATGGCACGTACGTATGCGTGTTGAAGCACAAGGATATTCCAGCAGGAGAGAGCGACGTGCGCTAGCATAGGTTTAGAACCAGTTCCGTACGCGGCACGTCCATGAGCTGGAGGAGGTCGCCCGCGTGTTGTACCCGTACGAATCCCGTTGGTATGCACTGTGTACGCCATAATATCCCATAAGAAATTTACCGCTCTCTAACCGGTGTACGGGAAGCAGTTGTCCGATGGAGTTCTACGATGGAAGAAGAGAAGAACGCGAGTAGGATGATAGAAAGGGAGAAAAAGAGACGACTGCGCCATCAGAAAATGCCGCGAAGACAGAGAGAGAGAGAGAGAGAGAGAGAGAGAGAGAGAGAGAAGGGAAAAGGGCCTGACCGAACCTTCCTTCCGCGCACCGGGCCCGGCAAAACGTAATTATGCTAATACGCGATTGGTTCGAAAATGTTAAATGCACGAGGCAGAGCACCGCGGGCTACCATGAGCCTGCCTCCATTGGTTCCCTCTCTCCCGTTCTCTATGCTGCGCTCTCGCACTCTCTCTCTCTCTCTCTCCGTTTCTCTTTATCTCATTCTCCGTTCGTCTTTCTCTCCTCCACTTCGAGCACAGATATTTATGGAATCTTCTTCATCGCGCCCGCTGCATTCCGCTCCACTCGTTCGCGTCTCGTCTCGTCTTGTCTAGAAGAGGCCCCGGGGACCAGAAACGTTTCAATCTCCGTTACCATCGATGGCGTGCCAAGCCGCGTTTCGTCTACAGACTTTGGGAGTAGGGATTCGACACACATGAGGAAGCCCATTTTATACACACTGGTAACCGAATATCGAGTATCGAGTACTTTCGCGGTATTGACAATATGTCAATATCGTTTCCAGCATTTAAAGAATACACCCGCAGCCGCCCATGTTATCTCTCATAACGCGCGTCTGCTAATTTCTTTAATCGTGTGCTTTCATTAACGAGAGCAAATTTAGAGGCACAGCTAACGAGTAATAAGTGTTATCGCGATAAACTGAGACGTCGCTGTAATTTCGAGCAAACTCCAATTAGTAAATTCATTTGCCTTGATGCAGATAAGCTGACACGAAGGCAGAGCAGCATTCGATGATTTATCCTCTAACTTCATACCTTTTTTCATCTAATCTGAGAGACGTGCCATGTCGAGTATTTATGCAAAATTGCTAGAAAAATGATACAAAAATTCATATTATATCTGATTCCATTTTACTGATACGTATTCCATTTGCGTCATGACGCCAAAGTGAAACTTGAGCCAAAATTTTCCGTCATGGATAAATATAAATCTTCATGGGACTATGCTGACTTTGGCGCATCGAAGATACTTGAATCCGCCGCGGGTAGTGCGGCATTATAATAATGTGATCGCTATAAACGAAAAAAAATGCTATAAAATTACGCGCGATCGAACCTGACGAGTGAGAGGGCCGATCGACAGCGAAGCATCACGAAGAGGTCTCGAGAGTGCACGGCGGCCAATGGCTGCCGCCACGTCAGCTGCCATTTCGATGAAAATGCTATGGATGTCCGCTATTTTGTATGATAAAATATCGCCACAAAAACGTCTAAGTAAACCAAACCAGCTTTCGTATCCTGCGGGCATACTCGTCCGAAAAGAGAGCGGGGGGGCCTATCGAAAAATCAATGCACGTTGCATCGGGAGAGCTCTATTAGCCTACCTTTCTCGCCAACATTACAATGCAAGGAAAAAGGAAATGCACAGAATCTCGTAAAACACAGTAACCATTGCAGTCAAGAGCTCTTTCGTCCGCATCGCTGATGAAAAGTCTATGGTCTTGGAATTTTCCTCAACAGATGTCTCACTTTCACCATTTATATGGCCATGTAATTCCATGCTGTTCTGACTGACCGACTGGTAAAGTATTGGCGCATATTGTCATTTCGTTTCATCAATCGGAAAGAAGGCAAGGTATTGCGACAAATAAAAAAAGAATGAAAAAAATAAGAAATGGACAACTACCGTTCCAAAGCAAACAACTGCGAAGTTGATAAAGCGTCCGATGCCGTCCAACCATTGGACAGCAAAATGACTCCACTTACGTGTAGAGTCGGTTCGCGTCGTAGTCTCGACGAATGCGCCGTAGATGTCAAGCTTTCACCGCAATTACGGAAAATTGCCCCCGCAGTCATAACAGTCGTTTTTCAGGTGTTAAAGGCAACTTATTGGCAGGCGGGCGCGGTAATCTCTCACAATAAGACTGATCGCGAGAATTTCCAATCGACCACTACACTATAGTTTTAAGTAGAAATCTGCTTTTTGCATCAGCAACACACAGATAATTTTCACGCAAAGTTTTTAAACGGAAGAAATTATAACGGAAGTGATTTCTAAAATTACATATATATATATATATATATACAATTAAAAATTAAAATAACTATAATTTTAGAATAAATAACATTTTCTAAGATGTTAAAATAAAATATATTAGTTATAGAAAACAACAATTTTAAACAAAAATATATCCGTTAATTGAAAAAAAAAAACATAGATACGATGTTAGATAATGAAGGAATAGTTGACTACAGTAACGAATCGCGTCCACAGTTGGATTGATAATAACATTATGAGCCTTATAATGCAGACGTGAAGGATACTCACCTTTTCGAGCTCGAGGAGGTGAAACCGGAGGACCTGAATCGCTTGAACCATCTGAAATGAGAAAAAAAGAATTGAATAAAATACATTCGCCGAATGCAAAGGCAGAAAAAAGATATTGGATGGTAAGAGGCTGGTTCGAAGAGGAAAAGAAATGACGAAGGAAAGGCTGCAGGGATTGGGGAAGACGATAGGGTAGAAGGAACATGAAGCAGACATGATTTAACCACACGCTGCTGCATCGTCAACGGTAACTCGGCAACAGATCGACGGTCACAGTTCTCCAGCGCGGATTCAACTTTTATTATTTATTTGCACGCTCGTGTTTTCATTTATCTCTTCCGTCGTGATATCACCGTTGCGAGGAGGCAGCGATAGTTGCGGTAGCGCGACGGTTATTAACGGGAATTCATTATTATTGCATCTGCATTTCAGTAATTGCATATCTGAACCCGGTCGTAGAGAATTCGCGCAACATACACGATGGTTTTCGATATCACGGATAAATAATCATAGAAATACGAGGAGACGGCAGAATGTTTATTAACCCTTACCGGACTAATATGGGTAACTAGTGGCCGAGCGATTCCTGTTCGTGCAAGTTTCTTTGAGTCTTTCGGTAATTATAAATTATACTACATTTTATTATTTTCCAAAATAAAGAGTCAATATTTATTCTAGAAAGTTGAAAGTATGTTAGTGAATTTTTAGAGATTTTTTGAATTATTTTGAAGAGGTGAAAAACGAAAAGATTTGAAGTGACCTTTGATGGTATGGATGAGGCATCAAATTGTAGATGGTACGGTAAGGGTTAATCGCCGATTAGTAATTTTTTCTATTTCTTCAAATTTTCAAAAGAGAAAAAAAGAAAAATAATAGAAAACTTATTTTAAAAATCGCGTTATTTCCAATGCATGGTGTGTGCAATGCATATGTCTATCGCAACGTTTAGAAGAAAAATACCAGAATATAAAGTTCGATAAGCGAGTCCGTGCGACATCGAAAGGTAATAATTGTTTTCGTTCCTTTTTTTCCCCCTTTCTTTTTTAGATGTATCCGCGGTATCGAAAGTGTGTCCTCGGAAGGACCATCGGTATAATTTTCCGATACGCCATTAACGTTTAAGGCCACCCGAGATTCCCCTATGCAATCTCTATGTGAAGAGGAGACCGTACATTGCGGTAACGTCGTTTTCTTTCGGAGACAGCAGAAGCGGCGATTCAATTAGGCAAAGCGGCAATCTTAATTGTTAATTAACATTATATTTATGCAATTATGGTCCATTATGATTCTACAGGGCCGATAACGAAGCGGTCGCGATGAGTGCTCCTGAGATAGTGGACTCATCCGAGGCCTACCAACTACCTCTTGCCTCCTCATCATCCTTTCGCCATGGAAGGATACGCTCTAAGCGAGGCAGGTATAACGCCGAGTCTGTAACTACCATGAATGGCAAGCGGACGAGATATCACCTCACCAAAATGCATTTCGAAGCTTGTATGGGATAAATGGTAAAAAAACATTTCGCGTGTAATAAAACGGATATGATTGTGAGACTTATATATTTACTAGAAATTTCCTATTATATACCCGTTTCCCCACTAATACATGATTTATCAAAAAAAGAGCGACGATAACAACAAAAAAAGATTGGTGCGTCGAAATAAAGCTTACGAATATTGCATCCAAACTTACGAAAGTATTGCAAATAACCCTATTCGAAAATTGATTCGCTTGATATCGAAATTATTATAAGATTATAGCGAAAAATTGTGAATTTGCTAATAAAATAAAGAACAATTGTCCACGTTGTACACGACAGACCGTCAGCTCAGCGTCAAAGGAATATGTATCAGGTCTTCGACACTTCAGGGCTCCTCCTCGTCGACGAACGGACAGGAAAGAAGAAAGAGGAAAGGGCGAGAGTAGATAAAGAAAAGAAATAAGAACGCAATGAAGCACAGAGAGGGAGAGAGAAAGAGAGGAACAGAGCGGGAAAGAAAAAGCGAAGATGGTATCGGTCCAGTAACGAACACACAACACAGAACACCCGGGTGCTCCTTCGCGAGATGGTGCGAGGAAACGATTCGCCACGATGTGTTTCTCGTCTCTCCTTCTCGCCTTCGACGTTATATACAATGTGTTCTCTATATCCGACGGTTTTGTTGCTTCCCCGACCAATAACGACGTAGTTACCACGACGTAGCACGAGCCCTCTCGTGCATACTATTACTTTATATATCGTGTAAGAACAACACCACGAATATCCTTCATACTGACGTAAGACTTTGCACAAATTATAAGAAATAACGTTTATTAAAATAAAAAAGTACGAGCTAAATATAAAATCCCAAGCGTACTTAATTATATTTCATTGATCATGACGAATTATTTTGACTCTATGTTTCCTTGTAACAGTTACGCAAGAAAATTTTTAATTTTATCGAGATATAAATAATGTATTCACTGTCTTTTCAGTATGTAGATCTTCCACAACAGTACGGTTGTCTGCAGTATCTCTAACTATCGCGAATGAAGCTCTTCGTGATGTCTAGTCCAGGCCACGTCACTCCCGTCACTCACTCTCTCTTATATTCTCTTCGTCGGCTCTCTTGCTCCGCTTGCGATCTTTCGGCTCGGGAGGTTTTGCCACGATCGCTCATCACGTGTTATTAATTAGGCTTGCCGAGCAGCCAAGTATCTCCCAGGCAGGGGAGGCCGAGTCGGAGGAGGAAGAAGCGGAGGAAGAAGAAAAACTGAGAAACACACGAAGAAACAGGGAGATGGTGTTATTTATAAGCCGACAGGGACGACGCAGTCGGAAGCAACGCCCGATGATGAAGGGAGTCCCTACTTTGAATCTCCCCTTACTCTCTCACTCTCTCTCCTTCTCCCCTCCCCCCCCCCCCCCCCCCCCCCCCCCCCCCCCCCCCTCTCTCTCTCTCTTTCGTTCCTTCGTCACCGTGTGGGTTGCTTTCTTTTACCTTTCTTTTCCCCGGTCGCTTCCACTCAAGTGTCACTACACCGTGACGTGTGATGCATGTTGCACCGACGAATGCGTGATATATACGCGAAATACGCGATGCACATGTACGAAAGTGTAAATGAGAATGCGTCGGGATTTCGCACCTTGCGAATGCTGTACTACTGTACTCCAAACATTTGGTCAAAACTCAGGGATATTTCGTCAACATCCGAGATCACCTATTCATTTAGAATAAAGATCGAAAAGTTTCATCAATAATAAATTCATGATTTTTTAGTTTTGACTGATAACCTAGATACATTTAATCTTTATTTTTCCAATTCTTGTATCTGCTTTTAGACGGATTGTTAACACAGAATCAGGAAATCCTGTGCTCAATTATGTCACAACACATTTAATCTTTATTTTTCCAACTCTTGTATCTGCTTTTAGATGGATTGTTAACACAGAATCAGGAAATCCTGTGCTCAATTATGTCACATTGCGGAATTTTATTAAGAACTTGTGGCGATTTTCTTTCCTGGTATGACGGCATGTCTTAATTTGCGAGGAATAATTTACTCCGAAGAATCACTATTTTTGTATAGAGGAGAATTTGATTCACAGCAAGAATATGATTTACTTTTGTTGACTATAAAAAATTTTCATTGACTTCTGTACGACTAATTTGCGGGTTGCTTTGTATGCGAAACACTCACTTTCTATTACTGAAGATGGTCTAATTTAAGACCGAAACGTCTATGATAATTTGTAATTTCTTGATATAATATATATACTTAGCTATAATAATAAATTCAATTTCAAAATCACATTTTAAATCATTTCATGGATTAATGCGAAAAATATTAGTTTTATTTAAAAAAAAAACTATTACATTAAAAGCATTAATAAGAAAAAAGTATATTAATCCATCCATGCATAAGATGGACGATAGAATGTCAATAATAAAATTATCAAGAAACGTCTTCGTGCAAATAATAAAGAATGTATATTCACTTGTCGGCAGAATTTCCAATTAATATACACCATTCTTTAGATTGACAAAATTAACTGCATGAATACTGTCAGTGACGTAAACGTAGGCATACACTACTGCCCCACTTTTATGCCAATCGATTCCATTATACGTGCATCCATATATTAAATAACGCGTTGCCAACGTTCTTTTATAATTGGAACGTATACACATAACTGTCATTATTAATATAAATGTAAATTTTGAGATTAAAGTGAGTATCAAGGTTAAAAGATAATAATAAATAAAAAAATTCGCATGGCAGGTCAATCCGTTCCGTGATGCGGTTCGTTAAAGCAGTACGATTAGCATCTTATAATTGATTGCAAACGATTTTTGAGGAAATTAAATTCGATCTCGGCCGCGCAGCATAAATCTTGGCGCGTAATATACCGGTCGTTTTCAACACTTCCAGTCCAGCAAAGTACGGTGAAGTCGTGATACGACCTTGATGAGATCGTTATATCGCGTAGTCAGGTCGGTACCCGTATAGGTGGACCTTGTGCCGGGCAGATGGGCTCGTATACAGCTCATATTAATTAGTCCGCATACGCGCGCGACGGCGGAAAAAGGAACGAGATGGCGACTGAAGAGCGAAAGTGAGACTACCAAAGAGATCATCAGATAGAGAGAGAGAAAGAGGCAAGACAAACGAGAGTGAATGGTCGACTGTGTATGAGGGCTGGGCATTCGTCCGCGTGGAAAAAAATTCATAAAATTCTATTGCATATGTATATACATATAAACGCAATAACGTTGAGGGAAACGTTAACATCGCTATTGATTCAAAAAACCTAATTAATTAACAAACATTTCGCACACTTCCTACGAGTTCGCACGAGAATGGTTCCCCATCGCGTGTGTCCTGTCCTCGTTGCCTGAAAGAAAACGAGAAGTAAAACCAAACGTACGGGAAAAAGAAAGTTTGATCGAAAGAAATAATCAAACACAGAAAGGTAGGAAATCGAGAAAGATGCGGTCGAAATGATTTTGCGCTTGAATTGTAATAGAAATAATTCGCGGACATACTTAGAGAAATAAAAAAACGTGCGT